CCTTCTGGTAGGGGGTTCTCCACTTAATAGGCTTGTCCAAGTCCATACGGTGCAACCAGATAGTACATCTGGTGGGTATCGGGAATTGTCTTGATCTTTATCATCACCAACTACTAAAAGAACACTGTAATTCCTTTTTTTCACCGCTTGAATAGCGTAGTCGTACTTAATGTCTTCCTCTGCCATGCCTTTCATGATTAACATGAAATTTGCTTGAGGATTCAAACGTAAGAAACTAATCATGTCCACTAAGATGGTATTATGTCTCGCAAATCTATCCTCTGGAAATATACAAACAAAACAAACATAGATCTTAGATTAGAGACATAGATAACAAGTAAAACAGAGAAAGAAAACTAGAATTACAAAGAGTGTTTTAAGAAATCACTTAGTCGATATAGTCGGATGTAGGTATGTACAGACTCCGTCCCCAGTAGACAAGAATCTTCTCCATGACCATAAGCTGTGATACACAATTCACCACAATAGTGCTCGTCTCTGAGAGATTTCCTGAGACGACGATAAAACGTATGAATCTTATCCTCATCTACGCGAAAATCCACCATGTCCCATAAGATGAATGTTTTAGTATCTGTATAGTGATCATGCGTAGATTAATCAGCTTTCACAAAACATAAACAATTACCAAATTTATTAGATTGATCCGATCGATGAGATTCAGATGAAATCTAATCCAGAATTTCGAGCAAGAGATAGATATCTTACGGGTGGATTTTCTGGATTGTTCCTCGGTTCCCATGGTGATGGAGATTCGGAGATGGAGAAAACTGGGAGATTTGGAGAAGAAAAGAAAAATCTCAATTTAGGGTTGTTAGTTCTGCGGCTGCGGATATTTGTTGAGAAAAAAAGATCCGAGTTTTATAGGGAGGCTCTTATTGTGAGATCTTGTCCAAGAATTTTATTATCACATTAGTTGATCCTTAGCCGTAGCCTGTGAATGTTTTATGACCTTAATGATCTTTTGAAACAGATATCAAGAAATGGAAGCAAGGAAAGTCATAATCTGTGGACTCCCGGCAAAAGGAATCATGCCAAAGCTCCACYCACAGCCACCACAAGAAACAGATGATGATCGAGGAAGTGACGTGGTGGAGCTCACACSAGCAGAATATAACACAGCTATGGGATACTTGGTACGAGTTGAGGAAGACGAAGAGGACATCGAACCTGAGTTCCGAAGACTTGTCCAAAAGCTCAGAAACGAAGAACAAAGAGTTATAAATCAAGAACTCCACTCCGSTGCAATGAATCGACCAAAGAAAGAGCAAGGAGAGTCCTCAAGAAAGAGAGGTAGAAGGTGAATGTCGGGAATGAAACAAATGTTATGTCTTTTATGTTATTTGACGGCAAACGTTTAGGTTTATATTCAATATGGAAAAAATGTTTTGTAAACTTATTTGAATCTATTTTTAATTTATAAAATTTTCTATTTATAGTAAAATGCATTTAAATTAAATTAATTACATATATTTAGGGTCAAAAAATAATGAAAATATGTTATTGACCAACAAAAATATATAACATTTACGAATTGCTATGTTTACTTTAAAGATGACATTTAACAATTGCTGTATTTATTATATAGATAACAATTATAGAGTGTTATTATATATAATTCATAACAAAAAGAAAATGCTATTGTATAATAAACATAAAACGCTATCTTACAAAAACATACCTTAGCGTTTATTAAAAACGCTATATTAAAAAGATATACCATCGCATTTATGTGAAACGCTATCTTAAAAATATGTAGAATAGCGTTTAATCA